CACGCCCCCAACGGCTTAAAGGGGGGCGGGGAGGGTCGGCTGGCTCCGGCCGAGGGTGCTGCGTGGATTGTGCACGCGCCGGACGGCCCCGTGGGATCCCGACCGCTTTTAAAAGCAGGGGCAGGGGCAGAAAAGGGGTTTCCCAGGTCTGTGGGAGAGCTGCGGCAACGGCCGTTTGATTTGCCAGCGGGTGGGAAGTCCGTGCTGCACTCGAGTGAATGGCGCTGCGCGTGGCAGCGTTAAACTGGTTCAAAAAAAGAGGCAGGTGGTTGAAACGCTGTTACGGTTTTTTTTCTTATTTCCAGCCAGAGTTTGAATCTGGTAACTTGGAACGCTGGATCAAGGTGAAGTAATTGCACAGTAACTCGCTCGAGAGTAAGGTACCCCGTTGTTATGCATAAAACTCATGGGTCACACGCAAAACTTGCTGTTGAGCAGTACTGCAGGTTGTACGTATGGGCAAGTCGTAGAAGAGATTTATCCCAAAGCACCTTCTCCTGCATCTACAACCACCTAAGATCAAGGAAAATGAATTCTAGGGTGAACTTCCCTTAGTATTACTTCCTTGGGCGCCCCCATGCTCCCACCCTCAGCCGGCTTCCTGTGGCAGGTAGGAGTGTGCGCCTTCCTCCTCATGGAGCCTCCCAGACCTCTGCAAAGGGAAGAAGCTCTGCAGAAATGTGGGCTGTCTGGTGTACAGGTGTTACATGTGAAAACACAGTGACATGTCAGGATCATTTACACCTCAGAGAGATGAATATGGGACAGAAAATCACCCAGACTATTTACACAGTGGCCAGCCTGGTTATGACAAAATGGTGATACCAACTTTCATAGTTGGTGATTTCTGCGGACTAACTCAGCAAGGCTCCATCCAGCCCCCAGGGGCTGGGTGTTTGCATTCTCCCTACGTGTTCTCCAATCACTGTGATTGGCACTAATTGCCAAATGAATGCTTATTACTTAATCATTTCTAAGTCCAATTTCTCCAGTCAATCAAGAGCAGTCATAGAAACGTGTTTCAAAAGAGATCTATTTCTTATAACAGCCATACTGTCTTGTGTTACATTCCCATTGATGTTTGCTCTCTCTGGAGGAGAAACCTAGATATAGGAAATTTAAAACTTAATACCCAGCAATCCTTAGAAATGTTTTCTTTTCTTTAAAGAGAGTGGAGCGAGCCTCTGAGTATGCTGTCTCTGAAGCTTTTTCCCTTCAAAAGTCAAGGTGTCCACAGGGGCCCTGTGGTCCTGTGACGAGTTTGGAAACCGTGAAACAGCTGCAAGATCATGATGAGGCCTGTGAGGAAGGTGAGCTGAAATACTGCTTGCCACAAGCTGCCTAAAATGAACTGTTCTTGATCCAGCATTGTGGTTCTGGTCTGAACAGGCTCTTGCAAAGCTTGAGACCATAAGAAACAGTTTACAGTAAGATGTCTTTCATCTAATGGAGAAAGGCATAAGAAGAATCAATTGCTGGAGTTCAAGGTAGATCTTAATTAGGATACCTAAGAGAAGGATAAACTCTTCGTCGCCTGGAGATTTCAGGTCAAGACGAGGATGAATACTGCCCTTCAAGACACAGTGTATGGTCAAATACAAGTTAGTGGGCTATAGGAAACAGGATGAAATTACCTGACATATTTTTGATAGCAGGCCAGATGTGAAAATGGAGTTGCTCCGTGTAACTTTCACATCTACGAATAATTGTGTGGTTTTGCTTTGATTCCCATGCAGAATTTTCCTCACTATTTAGCTAACTAAATATTCCCTTTGTAATTCCTGCAGCCACAAGTGCTTACTGAAATTTGAAAATAAAACTGTGGTACATTTAAAAAAAAAAGGGGGGGGGAAATTATCTCCATTAGTGCTAGAAGTACATCTGCAGTGTAAAAAGCTGATAGGAGAGAGGATTTTAAAAACTGAGTTAACCATTCTTTTAAGACTCAAAAGTGAGCCTCACAGAATGGAATGAAGACCCGTCTCAAGAGCATCCACTTCAATACAGGAAGTCAGCTTTTTCACTTGTAATCATCAGGGGTTGAACTAATAGCACGGAATACACCTATCTGCTTACAGTGCACTGTCTGAATGCATTATACAGCATAGTGGCTCAAAAGGACCTGTCTTTGCAATTGGTGGAAAAGTTGCTTGCTTTCCTCATGTTTCTTTATTATTTTTGCTTGCCCTTCTCTGCTAGGGTTTTCCTTTTTATAGCTACCAATCCCTCAGGATTGTTCCTAGCTCAACTGAAAGCCTTTTATCTGGAATCCATTATTAGAATACTTAATGGTATTAACTACATATAGTCCACTTTGCAAATAAAGGTATCGATAAGAGAAGTGCAAGGACTGTCTTACTCCAGTTCTGAGGAGCTCACATTTCCCAGTCAAAAAAGTAACCCTTCCCCAAGCAATAAGCTGTTTTTCTCTCTTCTTTCTGTTATCATCAGATATATTATTTCCTTGTTCCTGAGCTGGCCTGAGAGATTATAAAAGAGAACAAAAGTGATTTGAAGGACAATAAACATTATATTTATGTTTTCTTCAAAAAACCTACCCCTTTTTAAGGAAGTTTTCAAAAGGCTTTATTGCCTTAGAAATACCACAACTCAATGGGAGCATCTTCATTCTGTGTTAGAATTAGACATTTGAAGCAGCTGCTTCCTCATGTCTATCGGCTGTGTGCCTTTACAGGGGATGACTTGCACTGCAGTGGCTGCTGAAATCCCTGCCCTTTGCCCATCGTCACTGCACGGATGGCTCAGCTTCTTGTGGGGCTGCTCCTGATGCCTTGCAGTTTGCAGCTCTGCGTTCTGCTTCAGGAACGGCTTGGCCACCCATGCAGCGAGGCCAGGTGGTTTGTTGAGGCAGCAGCCACCTTAGCTGTCCTTGCTTTTGAGTAGGATCTCTGAAAAAGGAATTTTTGCGGTTTTCCACAGAAGAGTGGAGATGCAAATAAAGTCCACAGAAGGACTTTATGCTCAGTTGTTCATTAGGCATTTGAGCTCACTGAGGAGTACCAAATCCACCATGGGTGCATTTCTGTAGTTGCAGTCTTAATCCTGAGTACAGGTAGTCCCTGGCGAAGCTTGCCACCTGACAGATTTGTAATCTAGACTCACCAGTTGTTCCTAGAGCTATGGTACTTGCAAAAGTTAACCTGTACACAGGTTGTCCAAACAGTGGTTCTTTTTGTGTTTATGAAGCAAACGTTTGTCCAAACAGTGGTTCTTTTTGTGTTTAACATATGAACAACCTTGGCTGTACACGTGGAAAATATCTAAGTGTCTGCAAGTGCAGTGGTAAAACATATGAAAGCTATCTGAGTTATGAATTACCTCATGTGAATTCCATCTCTGATAAATGCTATAATAATCACTCAAGTGATCTAAATGTCCACAGAATCTTGTAGGAAAAATGGGGTGGAGAAGAATTCATTTGTGACATATGTGACAGGGAAAAAGTTTGCCACCTTCTCTTCCTGTTCTTTTATAGATCAAGAAGATGAGAACAGAACTACTAGCCTTATTCCATTTTCTGTTGCGGATCAGCTTTCAGTCATTTTAGACAGCCTTCCCAGCATGTGATATAACTATCCCAGAGACAGAGTCTTGCTAGTTTACACTTACCCATGTATTTTTTAAGCAAGTGAAGTCATCCGTCTCTTTCCTCATGATAGCCCAAGAGCTGCTCAGTAACTGGATGAAGTCTAAACTGCAACTGGAGCTGATGAGTGATGGAGAAGAGGAAGTTGACTCTGTCCTCCTGGAAAAGCCTTCTGCAGCCCCTCTGAAGTATGAGCGGTTTGATGGTGAGAGCACAACAAAGCAGTTCCTGGCTTCCTTTCTGAGGATGTGCTGGGGAAGGGAGCCAGGCCTCATGGCTTGTCAGACTGAGACGTAAAAGTTGCTCTGAGGCCAGGATAGTGGGCTCAGTAGAAACAAGATTAGAGGTGATGATTTTTCTCCCCCAGCTCTTACAGCAGCTTGCTGTAGGGCCGCACAAATGCACCTCATAAACATTTGATGTCTCCCTTTGTAGAAGAGAAATTTTATTTCTTTTGTGTATTGGTATTTGTGAGGCCTGTCAAATTTGTACAGCTGTTTGAGATGCTCAGAGGCAAGGCAGTAAAAACTGGATGAAATGTTGTTACTGCTCTAGCGTGTTCAATGGGAGACTGATGAAGACTCTTTGGGGATAAATGGAGTGCAGTCAGTGTGTCTGCTTTCATCAGAAATGCATTCACAGTCTGGGAAAGTGATCCCTTTAATTATGTTAGGCTTTGTGATCTGAGACAGAGGGGTTTATTCATTTCAGACTAGCCTGAGATAATCTGAATTCCTCATTTCAGACCTGTGCAGCTATCTGGAACATGAATTGGAAAGTTCTTCTGTGCAAGAATACCTACAGCATCTTTTGCAGAGTGATGTTGTGAACTGTGGGATAGTGGAAGACCTTAGACTTGAAGACATCAAGGAAAAACAAAAACTTGCAGATCCACGAATAATCATGGAGCTCAGGCACAAGCAGGTGAGCAGGCAAGGCAGCACAGTTAAAAGGAATAAGATGGAGGATTATAGGATTAGAGTAAATGCTCAGTGACACTTCCCCAGTATTCTTTCCCAACCTGCAATAATCTCTAACTTGGAGGCAAATACCCGAGGATACTCTTCCACAGTTTAGCTGAAACGTTACTGCGTTTCCGCATGCACATTGGCCATTCACAGTAGCTTGCACAGTCAACTTTCACTACATCTGTTCAGGTTTTCCTCCCTTTCCAAAGACTGACACAAAAAGCCGCCATGGCAGTCAGTTCTGAGTTTGCTCCCATCAAGTAATACTGGTTTAACCTCACTCTCTTGAATGGAGTTTTTTGCTGGTCTGAGAGCAGAACCAGTCCAGTCAGTGTCAGCTACAGTATAGGGTTGCTTGCTTCATGTGAAAGGTGGATTGTGACCCACCCTGTCAGTGTACAATGAACCTCAAATTCTTCAGCCTTTGGCATCTGCTTTGACTTTTGCTGATTTCCTCCTTCCCAGGTGAAAGAAAACCGAATGAGGCGTCAGAAGGCATTAGAGCTTCAGAGACAAGAGAAGTCCCTGAAGGAGTCAGTTCTGTCTGAGGCCAAGCTCCAAGCACAGGAGGAGGACAGATGGAAGGCCCTGAAGGCCGAGGAGGAGGAGATCCAGAGGGAAATGGTGAAGCTGCGAAAGGAAATGGCTGAGAAGAGGCACACCATGGCCGAAGCATGGAGAACGTAAGAGGGAGAGGGGGGCATGGCAAGAACCATATGAAGAACACTTATCAGCTCCTTTTGCTAAATGTAAGAGGAGTGGTGGTCCCAAAGGAAACATCGGCTATTCCTCTGTCTCCAAACTCTCCCAAAACCTTTTATGCCTTTGTTACCGATGTCAGTGGCAGAGTTTATCATTAGTGGGAAGATGGGCTAAAGATACTGTTAGCCTCCCCTCAGCCATTCCCAGTATGTACACTGAATCCTCTTATCAGCTCCTTTTGCTAAATGTGAGAGGAGTGGTGGTCCCAAAGGAAACATCGGCTATTCCTCTGTCTCCAAACTCTCCCAAAACCTTTTATGCCTTTGTTACCGATGTCAGTGGCAGAGTTTATCATTAGTGGGAAGATGGGCTAAAGATACTGTTAGCCTCCCCTCAGCCATTCCCAGTATGTACACTGAATCACAAAGTAGGAGCATGTTTGCACCACCGTGCATTCTCTCCATCAACTCTGTGGCCACATCCAGCGTAGTTAGTGTCTAATGCAGCATGAAAGCCAGTACACACACACACACACAAAAAAAGAATAGTCTGTGTTGAAAGTCTAGCACTTACAATACTTCCTCTGCTATGAGAGAATAGAGCATTCTTGGCTGAGAATTCTGCAGAGACATAATTTTTGCTTCTGCTGAGCTTGGATTGTCACAGAGATGTGACCTGTAGGGATGCCGTTTATTTACTTAGGCAGCCCTGAGATCCTAAATCTTCTCATGCAAGTGCTTTACTGAAATCTTACTATTTTCTTCTGCCTGCTATATTTTGGAAATGCTCCAGACTGTTTAATCTCTGGGACCCCAAACCATGGCAGAGGCTGTTTTCTAAGAAGGCTGAGTTAAATAATCAGCAACTTTCTAAGCTGTAGAGGTGAGTCTCTTAGGATTGGCCAAAAAGAGAGTGAAATTCTCCCCATGGCTCACTTCATCTGCTACAGTACTTTCCTCATTGTATTAGATCTGTAAGTTTGTTCACTTTCCAGGGAGGGGAAGAGACAAGAAAAAAGTCAGAAGCTGTCAATGCAGGAGGTATCTATTACTGCGTCACCACCCCTGGTTCTGAAGAAAGAAGAGCAAGGAGAGGAGAAACAGAGACAGGCTCAGGAGCTGCTGCACAGGATTCACACCAATAAGCAGAGAGTGAGCATCACCCTTCTTTATCTGAGACTCTGAGATACCTGCCCTCAGCTACCATTTGCAAAACTGAAGTAAAAAGTCCTGGTTATCAGAATTTTTTACTTCTTCCAAGCCCTCCTCCTGATACCAGGAAAGTAGAAGAGCAGGGCAAAAAGTATCTTGTAAGACTAGGAGCAAGAAATCCTGAGCCTCCATCCGCAGTGTGTTTGTACCTCAGGTGTACTCAGTGGGAGGTTTCACTTAGAATTGTGGAAAAGATGGGGCGCTCAGGACAGTTGCAAACATAAACGCTTCTGCAATTGAGAAATAGGCAGATGTACAGCAGAGGCAGCGGAGCAAGATTTGTTTTCTCTTGAGGAAGGAAGTAAAAAGGGGGGAAATGGCACAAAAGGGCCTGAGAAGCCCTTATTGTGTGTATGGGAAGATATTTTAAAGGTTGCCTTGCAGACCCTGGTGCAGGAGCAGGGAGAGCAAAGAGGAGAGAAGTACTGAGGCCTGGGATGAATTTTGAGCTGGGTCTTCAAGAGTTGAAGTATGCCAGCGCATCCACAGTAATGGGTTCCTCAAGGATCCACTCCTACTGGGATGCAGTAGGATATTCTGTGATATTGCAACGGCTCTTTTGAGGCAAATGTGCATGCTTTAGTAATTCCTGGTAGGAACCTATTTCTTTTACCCTCATTATTCTGATACCATGGCCAGCTCTGGGTTAAACACCTAGTTGTATCGAATACTTGCAATTAAAGAGCAATCTTTTTGTACAGAATAATTTTATATGGGCAGTCTCAGCAAAGGGAATAAATTTCCCTGAGTGTAGGTATGAATGCCATCCATCACGTAATATTTTTAATTAATAGAGCAGGCATCATCATTAATGTCTACTTATCTACGTCTAGAATTTTTTTTAATAGAAGAATCCCATAGCTTTTATGGTGATTCTCCCCATGGCTCACTTCATCTGCCCGTCTGCTGGATTTGAGCTTGGCTACTGTTTAGCAGTCTACAACCTCTCTCCAGCACAATCTAAGCTATGAAGATAAGCCTGAATGAAACCACAGAACAATTTAGGGCTGGCAAAATGTGAGAAGCCGCAGCTTAGCTGAGCTAAGCAATAGTGACACTTTGATTATTTTCCTAAAGCAGAAAGAAATAGCTAATGCATTGACATTTTGTCCTTTTTGTAAGTCTCCATTTGGAGATTTCAGTGAGTGAGAGGAATGCAATTAAAACAAGGCATCATGACAAAAGGGGAACAGCCGAGTCCTGTGAGTTGACCCACTTGGAGGATCAAAATGAACAGTGTCTGCAGTGACAGGGCTAGAATTATGGGGTAGATTAGATAGCAAATTGCTGTTCCGTACAATGTAAATCACTCCCAGAGGCAGCAAATCTAATTACACAATAGGTGAAAGGTTTAGCTTCCTATTGGAACAAGGCTGAGCTTAGGTCATGTCATAAATTCATGCTAGGAAGTGTCTTGATTTTTGTCTAAGTTAAAAAAGAAAAACAAGTGGTCCATGGAGATATTTGTGAACTGTTCTCCACAGAAGTGTTCTTACCTGTAGCATCTTAGACTTTGAAACATCTTTCCTGTCTGTAGAAATTCTATGTTCCTCACCCATTTTATTCCTTTACACTTGGTGAACTAAGTGCGTTTCACTCAAACGCATAAAGTCCCATGATGTTATCTTTCTAGTCCCTTTCTGCTTTTTGTAGAAGACCTGCACATGCTCTGCATTATTTTTTTTTTACCCTCAAGGTAATTGTGGAAAGTGGGGATTCTAAAAAGAATCTGAAAAAGGAAAGTCAGATAAGGGCAAAGGTGAAGAGGATCATATGTGTGATGGGCTGTATCTTGCTTATTGGTTTTCTGAAACTCTCCCATACAGTGCATGCAACGACATTTCTCTGCTTGGCTGAAAGTCATTCTGGAGCACAGAATTAAAATGGGAAAAGCCAGAGCCCTTGCTGACTGGAAATGCCAAATGAAGGCCCTGCGAGCCTGGAGAAACTATACTTGGGCCCAGAAAGTAGAGCAGGAGACACAGCAATTGGAAGTTCATCTCCGAGATCAAAACAGGTAGTGACCCTACACTGTGGAATTCCTCCTACTGCAGCAGTACTTGGGCAGTGCAGTGATCAGGGACTGTAAAAGAGGCCTGTCAGTTAGCCAGCAGGAGGAAAACAGTAGCTTTTTGAGAAAATTGCTACATTGCCTGCAGTCTGCCCAGAGGCGTTGTGGCGCAGATGAAAAGGACGACAGAGATAAACAAGAGCTTTAGCACTTTCCAACAAGCCTGCGTCTCACCTTCTTGTAGGTGTCTTTCCTGGAAATCTCACCCTGGCTTGCTCTGGACCCCAGAGAATATGAGGTGCCATATTTATTCATTCCTGATCAATATAGTTATTTCTTATTTCAGTAGTAGTAGAGCAGAGATCATTTTGGCCAGTGCCTTTCATTATGGAGGCTGTTGGATGAATTCGCTATCAGCCAGAGAAAATTTTGCTTTTGCAGTTGTCTGGCAGGCTGTGTGGTGAGGCACTGCCGCTTCCCCCTATGCAGCTGGCAAGGCAACAGGATACCATTTTTGCACCTATCCTACAGCCCAAGGTGATATGGGAAATTGCAAAATGTGAACTAAGGAAACTTACTTCAAAATAATGGGCATCCTTTCTGCCCTCCCACTCCTCCTTGGAGAAACTCTGTACAGCTTTGGAGGGCCTTCAGAGTTAAGTGACAAAAAGACTCGGGAAGTTATGGGGCCTCGTGCCATGGCCTGGACTGCTGTACTTGATGCAATTGTTTCAGGCAGGCCTGGGCAGAAGCCTCACTCCTATCATAACACAAGTGCTTTCTCATTCAGGAAAAAAACTCTGTCTGCGGAGCATAACCAGCGACGGCTTTTGCGCTGCTGCTTTCTGGCGTGGCAGCACTGGAGCCAAGCAGAGACAGAAAAGCGAGAGCTGCAGATCAAAAGGGAGGAGAAGAGGAGAAAGATGGCACAGCTGCTGGAGGCAGTGTCGCTGGGGAAGGGTGGTCTGGATAGGCCACTGGAAGTTAACAAGCCTGGGACAGCAGAAGTAAGCCATCATCAAGATTTGCAGCAAGACAAGGTAAATCTTTCCTCTGTAGTTTTGTCTATTGGCATCCCAGTACTCGTACAAAGTACTTCCTTTGTGCAATCTGAAATAAAGAGTACATTGTCCCAGAGGAAGGCTTCTTTCCCCAGGGTGACCCCCAAATACCTGCCTGCAACTGTTCAGGAGGGAAGTCTTTAAAAATCAGAGGCAAATGTGAAGGGCAATGGATGAGTTTTAAAAATAAATAATCTCTAATGCTGCCAGAGAACAACCCTTCATGTACTGTGAGTTGCAATGAGCGTCCCACCCCAGATCACTTTTGCTGAGAGGTTAGTTACATCTTTGATGCCGCTTAGACTGAAAAAGAGTAACGCTTGACTGCACAAGAGATTTTTGTCATGCCAGTGCAGCTCTCTGGCTTTTAAGCATGGGGAAAAAAAAGTTGTCACTGGCTGTTTCAGAATAATGCGCATCACAAGAAAGTAGGAGAGGAGAGTCAGAGGTTGCTTCCTTAAATTGTCATTTGTCAGGTCAGAGCCTGCCCTTCCTTTCTGTCTATAAAACCTGTACCACAGCAGTGTCCCGATCCCAGCATGAGAGCTCACACACACGTATTACAGGTCAAGCTTTTCATTTGCTTAAATGTCAGCAAAAGTTGATCTCCTACGGTGTTTATATCATCCTAGTAGGCCCATATTTTTCTTCTGATGCACTAGTAAAATTTGTGCTGGAAGGACGGGACTGAATTTGGGGTTTGACCTAGGAATCAAAAAGCAGGCCTTACATCTGATGCTTCTTCAGAGAAAGACCATGTGTCGGAGAAGGCACAGCCTCATTCCCCACTGTGCACCAGTTTTATGGTAATGTTTATCAAAGCTGGAGAAGAGGCATGAGGAAGCAGCACCTTGTAGACTTCTCTTCCATCTGAAAAGGGACTGTTCAGTAGATCAGCTGTGTAGATCACTTCAACAACTGTTTTTTCCTTTATTCTCCATCTGAGTGCTGAGTGGGGACAATGCAGTCCAAAAGGGAGTGTGGTAATCCCTGAGAGATGAGCTAAGTCCTGAGAAATGAGCTGTCCTGAGCTGTGCTCCCTAACAAAATAGTCAGGATATATTCCTGCCAGAGCTCTTGCCTGATCAGGATTTCTTCCTCTCAGTGAAATGACACACAGCTCCTTAACAGTTCTTTCGCACAGCCTCCCATTTTGTGCATAACGGGGCGCCCTCTGCCCTGGCTAGGAACTGGATAAAGATTGCATAGCTGAGATTACCTTACTTCTCAGGCATCTCACTAGATTTGCATTAAAGAAACACAGTAAGTGTAGCAAGAGCAGAAGAGTGCTTGGTTTTAATCAATGCCAAATTTTCCTCATTTCTTTTTTCCCCCCCTAGCCAACTGAAACTTGCCTCATACAGAAAGAACCTGACCAGACCAGAGACCACTCTTGTTGGGATGCTGCTCACACATCTCATTCCTACAGAAAACCCAAATTTGCCTGGGAGATTACCCTAAAACATGCAACCCCGAGTGCCCAGGGCCAGGCTGTGTACAGGAATCAAATAGCCACTCTCCCCCAGCAGTTTCAGGCACCTGGTCCAAAGACAGCTCCTGCTTATGGTAGCCGTTTTGAGCACCGTCATGCCTTCCAGCAACGTCTGATTGAGGAACAGAGGCAGCAGCTTCAGAAACAGCAAGAGCTGATCCTTGAACTGCAGGAAAATCAGAGGCTGAGCAGAGGTAAAGAAGAGGCAGCACAAGCCATGGCTCTAACCCAGCCGCTTAACAACTCTGCTTCACAAACCAGGGAGGAAAAACCGAAGAGGGAAAAACAATCCAGATGCAAGAATGCAACCCATTTGAGGTATATGCTCTCGATAAAGCAGGCTCAATTAGTCAGCATGTCTCATTCCTACTCAAGTTGAGCCAGAATTTGCCAGGCACACTTCAGTCATGCTAGCACTATCTGCTTTTCCTCTCACCTCTGACTTAGCCTCAAGGGTAGTATCAGGCTGGCCACAGTTCTCTGTCCTTCTCCCTTTTTGCAATGGCTCGATACCATGTGATCCATACAGGATCCACTTAGAAAAAGCAACACTAGAGTGTCACACACAGTAGCAGCAGGGATTTATTTAGTTGGGAAAAAAAGAGAGTGTCTGTATTTCAGAGCATGCAGCAGCCCTGGGTACTCAGCTCCTTCGCAAGGATGCATCATTAATCCCATTTCAAGCAGAAGAAAGGTGTATCGGATTCAGAATGAAAATGCAGCACAATGGAGAATAGAAACTATGAGGCCTGTTTCTCAACCATAGGTGGTAGGTGTGAGACATCATTTGACCACATTAATTGATGAATTTCTTTACTCTTTCCTTTCATAGTCCGCCTGTTTCTCATGGGCCAGAAAACACAAGGGCAGTGATGCAAGGCAGGAGGCCCCCCAGCCAGCTGACCTCAGCTCATCCCATACTGAAAGGTATTGTTCTAGATAGCAAAGACCATTCCAGACCACTTTTCTCAACAGCTTGTCTGGAAGCTTCTCTCTTTCTTCGCCTCAGCCTTGCTGGTTGATGACAGTATGCAAGTAAAACTCAGCACTCTCCAGCGCTGTGAGAGGGTGAGCTGTTCTCATGCCCAAGTCAGGCATCTGTAAAACCTGGGCCACTGCAAGCCCCTCAAGTCCATGCTTAGTACACTGTGGTAACGGTTACTCCTAACACTTGTGATTGATTGTTTCTGGTGTGACAAGACTCAGAGAGAGAAGCTCTACAGGGATTTGCTGTCAGTCTTATTCCCGTCATTGCACATCCAAGTAACACTTAAGTGACCAGTCATTTTCATCTAACTTTGACAGAGGTATTGAGATTTCAAAGGAAATTAAGTGCCTACCTAAGGTTTTGTGAGACAACAGTAGCTAGGCTAGGGAAGGAGCTACGGATCCCTGCCTTCTGTGAGATATCTCCCCTTCTGTGGCCACACTGGAACAGCATATATACGTTAAACATGCAGCACAGCCTTTTCATGCAGTAAATTAAGATCAGGTTCTGTTATATCCCTGGGTCCTGTTCTTCCATATCAACTGGGGGGTGGTCACAGTCTGCATGAAAGACTGGAATATGATCACTGTGATGTTTTAACAGTTTTGGGATCACCAGAGCTTTTTGGCCATAATAGCTGGGCATTAGTAGTTGCCTTTCATTAACTGACTGTGTTCAGCTCCAATGCTACCTAGTCCAAGCCATCACGCACTCCGATTTGCCTGAACTCTGTACAGCTTAGGGACAGTAAGCATATTTTCAGAGCACTCAAGTGCTTTTGTTTGAAGATCCCCCCAAAATTCAATGAATAAGTTATCACTAGAAGATTTTCTCTTGGCAGAGAATCCTGGGACAGCGGAGAGGAGAGGAGAAAAGAAACTGAGGAAACCTATTGTGGTCAAAACACTTAAATGTCCCCCAGTTATCAATTGCTCCAGCCTGTGCTTTGTTTGCAACTTCAGAAGCAGCGAGCACGGGTTCTCAACTCCACTGCATGTTCTGCGTGGTCATATCAGCACTGTAACACCTTCACTGATAGCCAGCAAGATCACCACACTGCAGTTTATCTCCCCAAAGCAGCATTAAGCAGTAGTTTCTTGCTAGTGGGACCAAGTACCTGTGTGTCACTATGGCAGGGATGCTTTCTGTCATGAAGTCACTCTTTAAATAAGCAACTGGAGCTTACTGGAGACCTCATAGCAATTGCTGCTGAATCAGGTGCCCTGAGCCTCAGCACTCAATCAGGGAAGACAGGATTAAGACATCTGGACACAGCTCCTTTCATAATTGAGCCTCATGGCTGTGACTGTCAACCAAAGAGGGTGGAGTGAATTTAATTGGGATAGTCCTGAATCGTCTTATAAATGTTTATGGGTTCCTTGTTCATGACACTGCCAGCCGTAAGAGGCAGCAGAAAGCAAGTCCCTTTGTGCTGGCATTGCCAGGTCAGTGGGGGCCTGGCAGTAGAGTGAAGTGGTCATCCTTGTTCACCAAACTTCTGTCATTATCCTATAGCTCACTTCCACTAAGCCTTACGCCTTCTGTTTCTGTAGCTATGGAGGAGAGAGCAACTCAGCGGGCAGAACGGAGGAGGAAACTAGAAGAAGCCAAACAACGAAGAGAAGAGGAAAAATTGGTAAAGAAAGTAGAAAATGAAATAAAGTCTCTTTCACACCATGCCAGTTACAAGAAATGCTGTTTTAACCCGAGTCAGGGAACAAGAAAAACAGGAGTTTTATAGCTTGCGAGAAAGCAGATGTCCAGCACACATCAAAAGAAGTAGTTATTGCTGCATTTGCATTCAGTGACCCCACTAGCCCTGCCATATCACAGGCAGACACTTCATGTTGATGCAGTTGCAATTCTAGAAGCAGCCTCCCTTACCACCCCCCAACCAGCTCTTTCACACCTACCTCATGACCGTAACTTGTCCTTGCCGAGGATGGCAAGGGTGGAAGTGCATGCAGAGATCCACTTGATTGGACCTGGCAATGGTGGGTTTCCCCTCCCCTGCCTTTCCTGTCTGGTCACAGGCAGCTTGAGGACGTGCAGTCTGGCCTAGTAAAAACCCTGCATCTTTCTAGCAAATCTCTGCTGAAGAGAGAAGATACTGACAATATTTGCATAGTTAATATACAAATTCTGTGATACACATCCAACAGAGGAGCCTTCTTAGCTTCAGGGCATTGAGCTGTTACTGAAAACAGTGATAGTAAGTTGCATTAAGATTAGAAAGCTCAGAACTGGGGTTCTAAAACAACCAGTGCTTCTTCCTTCTCCAGGCAAGAGATGCACTCACATATGCAGGAGGCTGAAATGAGCCTTAGAAAACACTTTAACCATAGAGTGGACAGACAAGTATCAGGTTAGATTTCCTCCACTGCAGTTGCCACGATCTTAGAGATCAGGAAGCACAGTCATAGTAATAATGCATTATGGTTGGTGTAGGTTTTAGGCCTTTGATGCATACACCAAGAGCAAAAGCTTTGTGAAATGAAAGCGGAGTGGGGTCTGCAGGGGGAGTAGATAAACATTCAGAGAAGGGTATTGTGCCAAGTATGACCAGTACTGAAGTAAAACAACTTCTTTTATCTTCAGTGTTTGGGTACCTGTAATGCTGCTTTGCATGTAGGAGTAAAACTTCAGAGGAGAGCCCAGAAGCCCAGAGCTGACTTCAGCAATCAGGTTATCAATAAATAACTTGGTGTATGGTTTAAATTTTTTAGGGGAAGAGTGGGCAAATACTATAACTTGGGGCAAAGAAAGATAAATATATATATATATATATAGGTAGTAGAAAGAACAGTCCCTCTTTCCTCTTCCTTCCACAGTTCATTGTCCAGCACAGATCATGTCTAGTAAGTGACAAAGTCTGCTTCCTTCTGAAGTTTCAGGTGCTGGTCAATACTAGAGGAATACTGGGAAAGCTTAGAGGTCTATGTGCTCTGAAAAGGTCACATGCGCCAAATTAAATTTTACCTTCCTCCATTTTCTCCATTTCAAGGCCCAGCTGAAGGCTGAAGAGGAAGCACGACAGAGGAAGGAGGCTGAGGAAAAGGAAGCTCAGCAGGAAAAACGACGGGAGGAGAGAAGGCAGCAGAAGCTGGTGACCAAGCACCTCACCTGTTTTCCCCCCCTTTAGCAGGGATAGGGAAGATGAGCCATTACCCACTAGCACTCAGTCAGCAGCCAGAGTAATGTGAACTGAAGGTCTTCATTAGTACAGCAGAGTTCCACAGCACAGCACCTACTGTATCACCACCTTCCCCCTTTTTGGCTGTGGACCAAACACACTATGAAGTATATACTGTCTCTGTCTCATTGGCAGGACTAGAAGTCCCAGCTGGTGGACGTTCACTGCTGAGGTATAGCCACACAAGCCCCCACGGTGGCAGCATGTTTCCAGTACTTAAAGGGCTGCTATAAAGAGGACCAAGGCACTCTCTTCACAAGGAGCCACATGGAGAAGACTAGTGGCAACGGGTACAAGTTGCACTGGGAGAGGTTTCATCTCGATATAAGAAATAAATTTTTTACAGTGAGAACAATCATTCGCTGGAACAACCTCCACAGGGATGTGGTAGAGTTGCCATTGCCAGAGGTTTTCAAGACACAATTGGACAGGTTGGACCAGATGATCTTTTGAGGTCCCTTCCAACCTGAGTGGTTCTAGGATTCTATGTTTGGTCTATTTTCAGGCTGATCCTTCCACTTGTATCCCCCTCCAGCATTCACAATGATACCAGTTGCAAACACATGACACATATATCAAGGGCAACTTTCCACCTGAAGAATAGAAGCATCCTCTCCTTGGAGCTAGCCTAGGAATAGCCCCACTTCATTATTGTTACTTGGAAATGAGCTGTCCTAAAAACTCAAATAGCACATTTGAAATCCTACAGGAATTTGACCTACAACTACTGTTCTACTTGGATTGAGTGTTTTAGGATGTTTGACCTTCATCCCTGAGTCTCAGTCAAAAGTAATATTTTACAGTTATGTGATATCCACAACCCTCCCCTACTATTTAGGCTAGCTTAAGTGGTAGGGTCCATGCGTAAACTCAGAATCATTTTTGGACAGGTTTTCAATCTAATTTTCTAAACATAGGAAGCTGCCGTCCTCGAGCTCACCAAAGCACCCCTCCCCGCATTGATGAAGGTCCATCAAAAAGAGGTTCCTGCTACATCAGCACTGCTGGTAGCCACAGATTATATGCCTGCTACAGTAACACCAAACTGCAGTGCTGAGGGAAGGCCACATGCTGATACACGGCCCAAGGAAATGTCCAGAAATACCATCATCTTCCATGAGGATTTTCAAGACGGTTTGCTCTGCTTTCTACCACAGGTTCTAGTACATGGGGTCATATCTGGTCTGGTCTGCACTGCTAAAGATGATGCAGATCCCTATTTCCTGTCAGGTCAGGGCCTACAGCTCCAATATGACCATCTATTGTCATTGCTTAATATCCTCTTCATCCAGAGTGAATTAAAACTACTGCTCTTTATATTGTAGAAAGAGCTGGAGAAGCAAAGGAGGCTGGAGAAAGAGCAGCAGCTCCAGAAAAAGGCCAGAGATCACTATGAGAAGGTCCTGCTGAGAAAGCTGGGAATGGTGCCATGGAAAAGGTTGAAGGAGCAAGCCAAGGAAAACCTGGTGGTAAGTGCTGAGGATAAAGGAAGGGGAGGAAGTGCCATGGGAGGAAGGGAAAAAGAATGGATGTAGCACTTAGCAGAAACCTTAATAGGCTCTTAAGCCAGGTAGAGTTGGAAAAAGCAAAAATTCTCCCTGCACACCCTGCCCCATATTCATTCTTTAAATCAGCCCATCTGACAATAATCATGAAAGGTCATTAAAAACGCACAAGGGTGGCATCCTCATTTATAGCTGAATAAACAGGAACCAAAAGGACAAAGGAACGAATTTCAATCTAATGAGAAGTCATCTTTTGTTAGCCTCCACTTGTCTGCAGTACTAACTGCCACATGATTTGATGTCAGTAACACAGTGGGAGTTAGTTTAGTGTGATACAGCCAAAAAAATAGATTGAAGTTATATGACACGAGCCTGTCAGTTCTCTTGCTCCACAGCAAAGCTAATCAGTAAGACACCGCCAAGCCACTGTAGTTATAGTAGTTAGCCCCAGCCCATCACTAGGGCTTTCCCTCTCTCTCGGGTCACTGCTGGTGCAGTGTTGGCCACTGCTAGAGGTAGGACACCACAGGTGATAATCCAGCGATCTCTTTCTAGCCTGGCCATACCTTCGGTGCAGAACGGCAAGTGGTAGCTTCTGAGACCTTGACACATAAATATTGCTAATGAAACATTTCCATACATGACTGAATTGGCATGCCTTATCAGGGGTGGACTAATAACACTCAGCCGTATCCTGAAGATTTAGCCGGAGCCCAGGGCTAAGTTGGCAAGCTTCCATTTAAGTCACTGGAACTGCAGCTACTTACAGTACTCGACCAAATGCACATAGGCCTCCAGCTGGAAAGAAACAGAGGGATAGCAGCTGCTCCTAAGTCCACCCTGCTGGCCAGCATTATGGACGGGGTTGGACTAAACTGATATAGGCCATGCCTCTGCTCCATTCACAACAGGTTAAACTGAGCATCTAATTCAAAAGGATATTCTCTAAAAGTGACACAGCAGTAGCCTGATAGAGAGACTGGTCTTGTTCCTTGTGCTGATCCCTCTTTGTGGGAACCTATCCTGTAAATTATTCCACCTGTCAGACATCTGCATTATGGGGGCCCCAAAAAGCTGAGGTAATTTTCTAGTGTACCCAGTTTTCTGTAGCTTTATGTTTATGTAGTCACCGGTCCAAGTAACTAGCTGCCATCTCTGCTGTCTTTACTTAGGTGGCACAAAGGCACCACTGCTTGGGCCTGCAAAGGAAATGCCTGATGACTTGGCTCCAGCAGACCCAGGGGAGCCTCACAGAGAAGGTGTCTCGGGCTGAGGACTTCTATTCCTATATGTTGCTGAGACGGGGCTTCAGGAACTGGCTCAAGGTTTGCCTGCATCACAGTGGAGAAACACCACCAAGCGAGCTAGCTGCTGCCGCACTTTCCCCTCACCACAGTGCCACTTCACACACCTGCAGCCCAGCTTTTGCTGAGTCACACTGTCCCCCTTCCAGCAACGTCATTCCCTTCTTTAGAGACCTTGTTTCAGCTCTCCACTCTCCATCATTCTCCTCCACCCAGGACGCTCTCCTACGTACTGCTCCCCACCTCCACCTTTGCACTCTCTCTCCCTGCAGATTTTCCTCCACTCCGGTCCCCATTACCCTTCACTGCCACAGTCTCAGCGCTGCTCTGTTTCTACTTATTGAGCTGGGGGTTGGGAGAAAGAAGACATTCTCACCTCTTTCTCTGTCCTCCTTCCCTAGTACAAGGATTATCTCTCCAGTCTGGAGGAGACAGCGAGTACCCTCCATGCAGCCTGCCTCCTGAGGAAGTACTTCTGGGCATGGTTTGATCTGATCATGGAGGAAAAGAGTACCTTATGGGAGAAGCTGAAGATTGCTACTGAACACAGTAACAAGTAAGTGCATTCCCTTGCCAGCAATTCTTTACTTGGGTTTAATATACCCTATAGATTATTTTAGAGACTACTTTTGACAGGTCAATTATCTGCTCCCCAAGAACATGTGAAACAGGTTCTCTACTGCTGGTATTTCACTTCTGTGATATGCACAGACAACACCAGCAGAGGTTTGTGGTAAGAATTTTCCATGCAGCCTGGAAAAGGAAATTGAGTGGTACCCTTCACAGGACTTTTAAATCTGCTGAAAGGGAATACAGTGAAAGTGGATAAGCGGCTGAAACTTTCTAAGCTGATTAGCAGATCTGGCCATGCAGCTTCTGCTAAAAGCTGCCTTAGGAAAATCTTTAAGTACATTTATAGCAAGCCAAACAATTGTGCAGGAATTACACTGTATTGTTTTGTCCACAGCAGATGATTTATTTCACAAATCCAAAGTTGATCAACTAGAAACCCTACTTAAGGAATCTTTCAGTTTATGCCATCGTCAGCCTGACTTGGCAGTGAGAACTACAGCAGACAGTTCTACTGATCACGACTGGAGCTGGACGCACACAGTTCACTCATTGTCCCATAACTGCATTAGCTGTGCCTTTTAACAGGAGGAAAAAACTATTGTCAAAGTTCAGCAGAAAACAAGCATGTTCACCTACCTCACCATGAAAGCACATCAGCTGCATGCAGCTGTGAACAGGCTGCACCTGTGCATAGCCCAAACAGGATCCGCAGCACCTTGGAGGAGGAATTAAATTAAATTCACCTCTTATGTGGTAGAGCGAACATGTTCTAGCTTGCCGTGTCAGTAAGATCAGAACAGTGCACGATTTAACCCAACAAGCCAGCAAACTGGAGGAACCAGGGAAAATTCAGACCCAGGAAGAGATTGGATTTATTCTATGTATGACCTCGTATTAGGAGCATAATCACCTGTCATTCCTCATTACCTCTTCCCCCACTGACTGGTAAAAGCCAGTTCAGACCTTGACATAGCAAACTTTTCTTTAGAAAGGACTGTTGCTCCCTATTGCCCACATGGGAACCCAGGGCAAGGCACCTTTGCTGGAGTGATTAAAATCAGGTAAGAATTGGAGCCCAGCTGCCTGCACTCCCAAGTGGTTGGTCTGGACCAAACAAGCCTGCATTTTTCTTGAAAAAACTGCTTTCAGAGACCCTGTTTATTCTTCAAGAAACATCTTTCATCTTCACAGTGCTAAGCAAACACCAGCTAATGAATCCTGTCAGAGGGAGGAGCAAAATTCTTGGGGGAGAGAAATAGAGAAGGGCAATGTGTTATTTTTCCCTGGGATGATTGACATATTAATGGAGTGGTCTGCCTGCAGATGTTTAACATGTCACAGCCCTGACTAGCACCAGAAAGAACAAATCCCACAGGTATTTTAGGGGAGTTCCCCCCCTCAAATAGAAGTCATCTTTTGATATACCTGTTATGTTATGCACACAACTGCATGTCATCACTTTGTTCTTTGTGTCCCCAATTTCTTTAAGGAGACTCACGCTGAATGCATTGAAGGCATGGAGGCAGTACCCGGTACTGATGAAAAAGGAAAGAGAGAGGGAGGAAAGGAGAAACCAGCTACGCAGGAGAGTAGCTGAAATTCTCCCTGACTTCCAAACATGATAGAAGAGAGTCAAAGGAGACTGGAAAAAGGGACAAAAAGACTGATTCTGTTCCATGCTATCTTCCTACCGACTGAAACAAATCCAAGGGGAAGTCCTGTCCAGTGCAAAGGGTTTTACAGCCAAAGGAAGCTCCCTGGGGCCACTGCTGTCGTAAACTAAGCATATATGGAAACTTATCTGATGGTTTCACTTTGTACTTCAGGGGGTTATTTCCCACAAGGTCCTCCTCATGTGAAGTCTCCATAGGGGTGTCTTGGCTGGTGGCAGTGAGGCCCAGGTAACCAAAGCCTAGCACAGGCTGTGTTTCGCGCCAAGACATTTCTACACGCAGAGCTGCAGCACTGACACAAATCCTCCTCCATCACAGGAAGCACGGAACTGAACTGCACCGATTTTTCCTTAAGCCATAACCTGGTGCTTTTCTGTTGCCAGTACTCTGTAGGGTGACACAGCTTGATCAAAGAGCAAACAGACCTGACTGTCAGCTGACCCCTCACCACTACTGCGAACTTGGCCACCCAAAGAACAGTTTCTAGCTAACTGCGCCAGGAAAGTTTGGATGGGAGGAGGAGAGGGAAGAGCTATTTATGCAAATCATATTTGCTAATGGTCCAGATCACAGCATCGCATATGGACAATCTAAAACCTGGATTCTTTTTTCGAGGGACTGCCTAGTTCGCAGCACTGGCCAGTTCACAAGCACAGTGCTTTGATTTTGGTGGCAAGCAGTGATTCCAAGTTTATGAGTCTCTTATCTTCTTGTCATTTAAACGTTTTCCAAGCTGGTTAACTGTAGTATTTAAGGATGTATTGTGCAAGTCTGCCTGGGCCTTTTCACTTGATCCAGCACTTCAAAAAAAAAAAAAATCCAAGAAAAAGGCAGACTGTATTTTTATATAAGCTAAAGCTGACATGATTAAAATGAAAGTTTCTTATCACTGTTTAACCTTAACCTGCAGCATAGTGCAGATAGGGTAATGCCATTAAGGTACAGTATGTCTTCTCTTAGCAACAGCATAAGGCAGGAATCTGGAATTGCTTCCCCCTCACAACAAGATAGGCAAAGTTCTCTCCAAAAAGCATTTGGCAGTACAGGGAGCACTTAGGTAACTCCAGGAAGAAAACTGTTTACTGTTATCCATTGTATTGGATAGTTTTAAAATCCTGTATATGCATTGAAAGTTTCCAATAAACCCAAATCTGAAATGAGTGCAACTGAGTTGTCGGTGCAAATGTGTTAGAAGCCAACTGAATGGCACTGGACAGAAGTCCAGGGTCGGGGACCTAGACCAGCACTAAGCGCTGCAGATGAAGTGGTATAGGACAGGTCAGGTGCCCAGGCGCAGAAGCAGGCTCCAGAGCTTTAGCACTGGGAGTTTGTCCATGCGGAGAGCCCGCAGGCATGTGGTCAGAGAGCCTCCCTGCCCACACAAGCCAGGCTGTCAAGCAGACTTTCGGTGCAGGTCTGAAGATGACTGTCACTCCCAGGTTACCTCCCACAGCCATCCCCTACAACACATGGACATTTACCATCTCCCAAAGGCTGATTACAGACCTGACCACCAGCAGGTCAGATGAGCGCATTATCCAAGCACAGGGAACTGAAGGTGCCTGCATGGAGTGTGGGCGAGTACAGACCATCTGGCTGCATTAAAGGCAGATTGTGAGAGGAAGCGACAAGCTGAGAGAGGGCTGAGTAACTCGTCTTGTGGGGAAGGACAGGCACTGCAGAAGGGTAGCATCTTTCACAGAGGACTGAGCCGAAGAGGCACAGAGGAGCAGAGCTGGGGGCTGAGCTACCAAACTAACACCCCAGTGCAGCCAGCAGCCACGCTTGGTGCTCATAGCAGCAAGCTGTGGCAGCACAGCAGCAGCAATATGCTTTCTCTTAGTCCGCTCTCTCCCCTTGGAAGCCTCTCCCATGTAGTGCCTAACAAGCTCCTGAAACACCTCTGAACCAGCCCTTACGCTCCCAGGTTACTGGTGGCCTTTTCCTAAGCTGACTTCCTTCTTACCGGGGCTTGGCAATGAGTGCAGCAGGGAAAGTCTCCAGCCCACCCTCCACCTGGATTCACGGCAAAAAAAGGATAGTGAGCCAGAGGATGAAAGGCAAGGACACAAGGGCTTTCTCAGCTAGAGAGTAGGTAGCATTACAGGCAGCTGGAGACGGGACACACCACAGCTGTAAGGGGAGGAGCAGGAGTACGGAGCAGTAGAGTGGATGAGTCCACATGCAGCCAGGTCTTGACCCTAGCAACAGGCTGAGCAGGGGTTGAATCTACATCTCTCACACACTAAAAGGGTGCCCCAAACCACTGGCTACTCGGGGGTGCATCCAGTTTACCGAACTGCAGATTCTTCCCCCAGCAATGCCACACTCGCACATTTTGTCCTCGAGGTCCACAGCTCCCACTCACCTCAGTGCCCACTCACCATCCATGAAAATAATGCTGTTTATATGGAGCACAGCCTCCCCCACCCAGAACTTGAAGTAGTCAATGCTTACTTTTGAAAACTGGCCTTTATCTTATCTTCTGGAGTTTTCTTTTATTCTTAGCAGCTTTGACAAAGATTCTCCTATTAAGATGCTCTTCTGCTGGACAGTTCAAGCAGTAAGAAGCCAAAAAGATGATCCAGGAGGAGCTGTACTTTGACACCCCTTTGCCCTTGCCTACTGCTAATTCCACGATAGCACAGAGCTGAAGCCTCAGCTGGATCCAGCTGAGGGAAATGGATGATGTTCAGGGGTCAGGCGCTTTCATACTGAACCTGGTTAGAATCAAAGGAGTGATGGCGAAGCCCCTTGACTTCCCCATTCAATCCACACCTGGCTGAAACAACTCATACCTCCTTGGCAGAAGCAAGGCTGTGCCTGATGATGCTGTTGAGAGACTGCACAGGACACCCCTAAAATCCCTGGCATGATGTTAGTGTTTTGCAAATTGAAGCTCCAGCAAACAGTTCCCAGCAGGAGGGTGACACACAAGAGAGCTTGTCAGACCAAGGAAACAGCTTCAGCCTGCAGCTGTGCCAGACCATCCCTCCTGCTCCAGCACTTGGTTAAATGCAGATGTCAATGCCTTAATGCTGGTCATCAGCCCACACTCTCACAGCTCAGGCGCGCTCCTGCCTGTCAGCTCCTTGCTTTTCTTAGCAAGGGAGGGAGGTGGCTGCACAGCCAGACTTTCCTTCTGTGCAGGGGGGGGGGGGGAGGATTTTCATTTTGATACAACAGCAAACACAGAACCCTGAAATGATCGCAAACTCCCCTTCTCCCCAACCCCATCCCCAGCTGACACCTGCCCGCCAGAGTTCTTACATGCTTTCCCAAAAACCTTGACCACAGAAATATCTTCTTCTCAGTAAATCTGTACACCAGTCTCCTCAAAGTGTGCCAGGCCCAGCTCAAACCGGATTTGAAACAGCGCCTGAAGTATTAAACAATTTCCTCTGCTCCCCCCAGGCAAACAAGACTGTAGCTGGGGACAGTAGTTAGCCTGGGAAGGGTCTATGAACCACCGCAGTCTGATCCACAGCTCACATCTTTGCAGACCTGCTACGCGTTACAGACACCAGCCGCAGTAGCGCACCTGTGCCTTCCCCAGCAGATGAGCTGCCACTCCAGACATGCTCCTCTGTGTGGAGACAACATGGCAAGCCACAAAGGGGAAAAAAAAAAAAAAGCTGGGGAGAGATGGTAGTCTCATGGGCCCCCGCCATCGGCACTGCAGTTAATGAAACTGGTGGCTGCTGGGGTGTCTGAAGTCTGTCACCCTTCTGCACACACCACTCTTGCTTAACTACAAACCTGGTTCACTGCCAGCGCAAGGTCCTTGTTGTCAGCAACCGCAAAGTAATCTTCAAAGAGAAATAGCTGAACAGCAGACAGAAGTGCCACCCAGGCAAATCAAAGCAGAGCTCTGGGAACAATCAAAGGCACCTGTGATTCTACTCATTAAAAGTCATCTTGCCTTTCAGCAGATGTCCCAAGATACCAACAGGATCAAAGGCTACATCTCTTCCCACTATCTGCACAGAGAATATCCACGTCATTTCCAAACATGGCTTAGAAGAGCATTTAAAGAAGAGATTGTTCCTTTTGGGGGTTCTGGATGTATTGTGTGGGCAGGTGTAGGAGGGAAAGCAAGACACTGGACAAAAAGGCTGGGAATCTGATCAGATACAAACGCTCAGTGTCTGATAATGGATTGCTTTCGGTATGCAAGATCCCAGTTCAAATCCCCACTGTGGGGGAAGAGCCCTAGTTTCCAGGGTGGTGAGAACTGCAGAGCAAGTCTCTGTTTCATCCCACCACCACCAAACCCAAAGGTCAAACTTTTGCAGAACTGGAAGAACACTTCCTAGCTTCTCCTTAGCCTGTTGCTCCCTTATTCCCAAGTCCAGCTCACAGCTAAATAGCCATGAGATGACGGCAGCTTTTAGTCATTTGACCTGGCTGAGTGTGTTGGCATAAATCAACAGGCCACCCCACAGATCATTTCTAATAATTTATTTTGATTCATAATTACATCCATTTGGAAACACTGAATACAATGCAAAATGGACATAAACACCCACCCACCAGTCCTTTCAACAAAGCTCACAAATATGTTTCACAAAGTTTCTTCCTAAAGCTTAGGGTGGGGAAAAAAAAAAAAAAAACAACCAACCCAAAAAACCCCCCCAAACACCCCACTCTCCAAGGTAGATAGTTTTTCCAGAGCCCGTCATTCTTCACATTATCATTAGAGGAGTTCCATAAAGACAAGATTTTTGGGAGGCTGAATTCCCACATTTCAGAAAGCGCCTCACCTGTCCGCAGAAAGATTTTCACTGTACAAACATCCTGATAGCGGAAGAAAATCCTAGGAAACTGTAGAGTTCTTCACTGAAAGCAATACAGGAAAACACATCCATAATCATACACGCTTCCTGCCCTAATGAGGCAATATACATTCATATAGAAGGAAAAAACCAAGCACGTTATTAAGACATCAGGCAGTATCCATTTTATCTTCAGAAGAAATTTTACAGCAAATGGTTTCATTAAGACACTTGAAAGCAACCTACTTTGAAGAAAAAAAAGCACCATCATAGCATGAAGGCTGAAATGTGATTAGGAGTCACAAGCAGTGCCAACTCAGGCTCACCAGTGACTTTTGTCATTTGAGGACAAGTTAAATGGAGAAACAGTCAACGTGGGGACCTGTGACTTGCCTACAAAAAAGCACGATGTAAGAAGACACAGTTAAAGAGTGCCAAGCCACCATTTACAGGGTGTATCTAATGGTGCACAGTTCTTAGTACAGTCACCAAGCAGTAGGGTGCTGACATTTGGACACGGAGGGTTTAACACTACAACAGCAGCAACATCAGAACCCTGGCCCCTTAAGAGTTGCCCTGGTCTGCAGAAGTCCACACTACTTGTGAAACAACAAATGCCTCTTAAAAGGTCATGGTTAAAGCAGGATAAACTAATTTCCAAGTCTGGGTGGAGAAACATCAAGGCTAGCTCTTACCAAAATCCTTCCCTGCTTCTGACCAGCTCTGGCTCCTCTCTTCTTACACAGGGAAAACTTTTCAAGGGTCAGCAGGGTACTGTTTTCTGTACTGCCAGGTACGTGCATACAGTTTTACAGGTGAGACACTGGTCCTTGCCTCAAGGCTACACACATGACCCACAAGTCACCTGTCAAATGCAGCCTGCTCCCAGGGCTCCAACACCCAGGCAGCATGGATCTAGGCAGCTACTAACACAGTGAGCCTGAGGGCTGACTCTTTACACCTAGGTTTTAACATTTTTCTACCAGTGTAGCCAATAACAAGCTCAGCAAGAAAATACTCAGAAAAGGAATTGTCTTTTAGCGCACAAGAGATCACAACAGTCGCTCCCTTTTGCACTTACAGCAAGGGCAAATATCCTTCAAGGGCTTCTTGCTAATTCTCAGGGCTATTAAAGGGAGAGCTCCAAAGTATACATCTGAAGCTCGCAAGTCTTCCGCCCTTTTAGATACCTTTTAGATATCCTATTACTTTATGCTTCCCGTCTCCCAAGGCATTCACAAGGTAAATCCTCTCAGGAAGAAGCCAGGATGGTAAACAAAAGCCATGTCCTTAAAGAAAAAGTCACCATTGCTCTGCAGATTATAGCCACGTGAACTTCCTATTCACTGGGGAATCAGCACTGCATTCTCCGCCTAAAAAAATCCTGCCTTGCAACCCTTTTAGTGTCCTGAATGGTTCTAGTTCCCTCTGGAGTGAGTGCAGAAATGAAGTTTTCTTTAGCACTTTACCCCCGCTATATTGCAGTGGGCTTGACCAAGGTATGGCATGGTTACATTAGTCCTAGGTCCTTTGTTCCTTATCTGCACTCCAAAGTCCACGCTGCCTGGGAGGCCACCACTGAGAGATCCTCAGTGTAAGCAGTTCAAATGAAGTCTCCCACGCCAGAGCTCACTAAGAGGTAAGGGACAAGGCTACACTGACAGACAGACTGCAAAGTAGTAACCAATCTCTGCCTGTGGGAGAACGTGAGCACAACAAGGTCAGGCACTGCCAGGGAAATGATCTGCGATCTGCTCTGCTTTCTCCCAGCCAGGAGTAGCAGGACTCTGAGAAACCACTTATCTCAAACCTGTAAATGCTCCCAGAGCTCATTCAGCTCATGGGCGCATGACTGATTTCTGCGCGTGTAACTCACAGGGACAGAGAGGCTGGCTACCTCCACTGCAGGTGTTCATTTAGCCCGGGAGGTCATTCTGCCTTAATCTTCCCAAGCGCCAGCAGGATGAGATCTTAGAAGATCACAAACCTGCTAGCCCACAGCATCCTTGTCCCCAGGGTTGCCAAGCTCCAGTTCATCTCAGCAGGCACCACAAAATGCATATGTGCCATGGAAACATTTACAGACAACCCATGTGGAGGCAAGGTCTTTGTGTGAATTTAGACTGCTAGGGTCAGGCTCCAAGCTCCAAACAGTCAGAAGGTCACAGAGGAACAGTTAGCACAGTCCAGCTAGGTGCCTTTTTCTTCACATTAGGGCCAGGGAAGTGGTCAGAAACCTCTCGGTGTGTTCGGTTAGAGGCAGGAAGCAAGAGAGGTTTACCTCCTTATAAAGGATTGCTCCCTGGACGAAAAGGGGTAAGAGGAAACAAGGGACACTCAGTAAGTCAGTAACTCTGCACAACCACATTCCAAGTGCAGCTGCTCCTCAATTATCTGCTGGTTATAGAAAGTGCCACTTGAGGAAACAAAACAGTGCAGAGAGGGACATGGTCTTCACCTTAAACTAAGACACGTAATCAGGAGCACACACACCAAATACGGCAGGGATCTCAAGGGACACTCCCAACCCTGCTACCTTTTGGCACCACACACCATCCATCCGTTCTTCAGAGACAATGCACTGCAGCGCACAGTGAATTTGCATCACTCAGCCAACATCCCCCAGCTGCCTGCCATGCAAGTGGAGTCAGGGCTAAGTATGATCTGTGCATGCTGTACATGCATCTAAAAACACCAGTCGCTAGGACAAGGCTCTTCTCTCTGCTTCTGCATCTTCGGCCCAACCCGTAACTCTTGTGCCATGGTCCCAGGCTTTTCCAGACAGACCTTTCATATTACTGCAAGGCCAACAACATACACAAAGGGTTTAAAACAAAAAGCAAGAAAAAAAACAAACCACCCCACCCACAAAAACCAGAAACCATCGCCACCAAAACCTTGTGACTTCAGCTGAAGCTCAAGTCTGGGCAATAATACAGTTGCAGGATGATGAGGAACAAGTGGCATTCTTGCAGAGCACCTTTAATACATTCATTCACCTGCCAGTGCAGGTCATCTACCCCAAAAACAGACAGCTCCAACACATCCTCTCCCTCTCCCTACATACACAGAGACTGAGAACTGTTCCTTGGCTTCCTGACTTGAGAAAACAGATCTACAGTCAGGCAGCTCCACAGTGACTGGGTTGAGAGGAGACAGGATCACTGTGTTATTAGCAACACAACCAACCAAGGTGCTACCTACCAAAAATGCTGTTAGCAGAATTGTCTACTCTCCCACAGACTCCCTTCTCCCATAAAGGGAGACAGAAAGGTAGTTTCCATAAAGCTACAGTAACACCAGACAGCACTCGTCTTCCCCTCAGTCCACGGTTTTGAAGCAACACGTAACAATCTCCTTCTTACTTGGTATATTTACCTGCTGTCTCGTGTCACAATCCATAATCAGAGCAGAAACACGTTGAGAGAGATGAGCCAAGCCTTCAAACCAACACAGACCCAGCTTGCAGAAAGAACCATGGGATCGAAGATGACAGTGTCTTCTCGCCCAGTCAGACAGACGGGGATGGAATAACAACTTTAGGGGTCAAGCGGTGAAGGGATCTTACAAAGCCCTACAGGAATGTTGCTCACAAAGGCACTTAATACAAGCATCTATACAGCTGGATGGAATAGAAGATAGAAAAAAAAAATAAACGCACCAGAGAGGAGGGAGCTGCTCAGTGACTGCCTAGACAGTCTCTTTTAGCCAAAGAGCCTGGCTTCTGCAACAGTCCATCTGTTATCTGCATCAAAAGTTCACCCTCCTGACATCTCTTAAATGTTGCATGTAGGTACGAGCCAGGGATTCCTTAACCTCTGCAAGAACCAGTGCACGCTCTGAAGTCCAGCAGCAGGTTCCTCTTGATGCCAGGGTTGACACCTAACGAAAACTCAAGTTCTCAAAACCTTGTGCTCTTCTTCCTGCTGAGCTGAGCTGCACAAAGTTTCCCACAGTGGAAAAAGGCAGCAGGCTCCTTCTCTCCAGGCTTGTGCATATGGCTTACTGCTTTCTGCATCCTATTGCTGGCTGACAGCACGCGAAGAACCATTCTGCCTGGGAAAGCCTCTGATATTGTCAGTGACAGGATAGGCAGCCCATACACCAACCGCGAAGGAAGGGTGTGGGAGGAGGGAGTCCTAATGGAAGGGGCCATTCCCCTGCTAAAGAAAGTCAGTCAACGTCATCTGCAGAGAGGGGTGTCACACGATGTCTTCAGCAGAGCGCTGTGGAGGAGAAGACCCCAGGCTCAAGAAATGGCCCCAGTTGCATAGGAAACCCCTGTTATACTGGCCAGTGTCTATCACTAACCCACCCAGGAGCCTGCGCCCAGTGTTGTCCCGCAGAGCCAGCCGAGCTTCCCTCTCGGTCACGTTGTAGCTGATGTTCAACAGCTGGATAAGGAGGATGTATCCCATGCCAGCTGTTACAATGGCACAGTACCACACACAGGTGAACGACAGAGCAGAGCTGGCAGCAGGGAAAAAGATGGGAAGGAAGCCATTTAGTTTTGGAGCAGCTGCTTTAGAGTGACTTTCCCTGGTAATCACTATCCTTTCAAATCCCTGTCTATATCTGCCACAGCGATCTCACTTTGCCTGCTTTCATCAGATAATCCTTAAAAGCTTTCTCAAAATTAAAGCTTCAGGGCTTACTTAATAAGAGCTTTTAGCACTACCAGAGCTACTCTTGCACATTGCTATCACACTACCTAGCTCTTTACTCCTGCTGTTGTAAAGGTACTCGGTCCTTATTTAAGGACACAACGATGCTCACACTTGATAGATCATGAAATGGAGTACTGAAGAAGGTAGAGTCCCTTGTGCTAGTGTACTCTGCCCATCCATGGTAGCACCAGTCTCTGAACTTGTCTCCAACGTTTCTCACCGCTCTCCTCGCCAGACAAGGCATTAACACTGTCTGTTCTAAGCAGGTAACTTGGAGGGACAGTCACTAGATAAACAGTGAGGGATGAGAGGGAGAGACAGCACACGGATTCCAAACTGTCAGACCGTTACCTGCATCTGGGGGCAAACATATTTAAGGGTGCATCTATATAGGACACAATAAATAAAGACTTCAAATCCCAGCTCCTCCAACATCTTTTTTCCAAATAAATGGTAAGCTCTCTCTGAGTCTCAGGTTCCCCACCTTGGCAAAAGCAGTGATGCATCCCTGCTTCCCAGAGCTTTTTAAGGAGCACTTTTTGGTCAAGTTTGACAGCCAATAGCACCGGCCTAGAGCACAGAATGAGGAACAGGAGCTAAGCTGCCTGACCAAGCCCATTCCCACCCCAGCTCTCTCCCAGACAGACATCTCACCTGTAGTCAGAATAGGCCCCGGGGCAGTAGAACAATGCCACAAACGGAGTTCGGCCCCTACAGACGGTGTGTAGGGTCAACGTAATCCCATACACAGAGGTGAGCATGAAGGAGGAGAGTGCAAGGATGAATGCTTGGTGGTTCTGCTCCCCTACACAGCTGTTAATCCTCCAAAAGGAAAAGAGAGATTACTTTGCTTAAAAAGAAAAGAAACTGGCTTCTCTTTCCTCCTCCCTCCCCCAGCTGTCAAAGAATCTAATTTCTAAGGTGCTTCTATACAACACAGGCTAAGAACTTTGAAACAAGTTCAAAGAAGCTTTATAGCTTTTTATAGAAAGATTATAGGCACAAGTCAATAGATCAGTAGGGTAACGGTGGCAGATCGTTTGCCTCAAACTTTTAGCAAGTTGTAGTATCCATCGCTGAGACACATCTACACCCTACTGCTCCTTGGTTCCAGTACTGCATGCACACAAACAGCTTTGGGTTCCCTTGCCCCAGGAGAGCACTAATGCAAGTTAACTGCAGAATTGCTAGTGCTCCACAGACTGAGTCGTTAAAAAAAAAAACAAACAAACCTCCCCCCCCAACCAACCCCAGATGAAAACCACTGGAGAACTAAAGGCAATTCTGAAGCACGCTGTAGAAGTTATCAGCTATCAGGTCAACCCACTTACAATAAAGTTGTTTGTATTGTTGTCACCAGGTCTTGTACATAATAAAAACAATCCCATTTGATAGGGACTGTAAAAAAAGAAGCTAACTTAAAAGGGGAGGGGGAGGGGGGGGGAGAGAGAGCAAGAGAGAGAACACACATTTGATAGGGAGTAAAAAAAGAAGCTAACTTAAAAGGGGAGGGGGAGGGGGGGGGAGAGAGAGCAAGAGAGAGAACACACATGTAGCCTCTGCAGTGCAAAACCTACCAGACACAGTGATGGTCCAGTCTCCTTACACACCTGCCACAAAGCCGGCAGTGCCCTGCTCGGGCTGGTCTGACCAGCTGGCATTTAACGCACCAGTCCTTTTTCACACCTTCTAGCTCCTCAGCTGACATTCTAGAATAGCCTTTGGCCTCCCCATTCACAGCACGGCACACATGTAGCCTCTGCAGTGCAAAACCTACCAGACACAGTGATGGTCCAGTCTCCTTACACACCTGCCACAAAGCCGGCAGTGCCCTGCTCGGGCTGGTCTGACCAGCTGGCATTTAACGCACCAGTCCTTTTTCACACCTTCTAGCTCCTCAGCTGACATTCTAGAATAGCCTTTGGCCTCCCCATTCACAGCACGGCCAATGGCAGCTCCTGACATGGTGACGCCATGGAGCCCGTTGGAGCTCCCTCTAACACTCTTGTTGGGCAAACCCCGGTGTGATGACTTCTCGTTGCTTGCTGGGATGGGAAGGTAGCCAGGGTCTTTCTTGGCTCGAGACAGGGCTGCAAGCATAAGAATTAACCCGCATGTGAGAGCGACCACTTGGGAATACCCCACGTGGCCTCGGGGAACCACCTCCTGGAGAAACACATAGTACATATAGCCCAAGGAGAAGAGCCCCAGGCTCAAGAAGAAGAGAGTCCGTTCCTTCCTCCTGTGGGTGAGGTAGTAATACCACAGCACCACCACGGGCAGCGATGTCAAGATGACGAGCCCCAGCAGGAAGTGCAGAGCAGCAACGTGGAGGAAGACAGGCAAAAGAACGAGAGGTGGCACGAGGCTGACGTTGATCTTCACAGCCCCTGCGAACCAAGGGATCCGCAGCCGGTCCACAACGGTGTCGGCAATTCTTTCCAGAGCTCCCGGAGGCAGGGATTTGCACATCAGCCACCTGTTAGGGGGGAAGCACAGACACTAGCTAGCAGACGGGCAAGCTGCGCACCCGAGGCCCTTGCCCTGCCTCGTCCCGCTCCCGCAGCCCGCCCCGAGGCGCCCAGCCCAGCCGCCGACCCGGGGC